GACACCAGTGTCCAGAGTCACATCTTCACTAACCGTTGCTTGGTAGCGGCTTGCAACGGCGGAAGTTCCCCCTCTGGGTTCTCGAACGATCCCCGTATCCAGCTACCAGCTTCTCATAGCAACAGCTCACAACGACTGAACTCTTGCGGTCAGCTAACCCACCCACTCACTAACTCAGTCACTCACCAACCGACTCCATCCCACTCACTGATTACCTGACCTCACTGAAGTCAAAGTAAAGAGTCATAGTTTTTTTATTGCTAGTGGGGTGGGACTAAGTCCCTTGTACTGCGGCCACTTCTGGCCTATTGTACCAGCCCCAGATGATAGGTGAGGGTGATTGTGGAGCAATTGGTGGAATGAAGATTGGCAGGGGAAACCGAAGTACATGGAGAAAACCTGCCCCAGCGCCACTTTGTCCACCACAAATCCCACTTGGACTACTTGGAAGGACTACTTACAGGACACTGTCACCTCAAAGGACACCTCATTAAACTTTGGATGAGCAGCAAATATTTGTATATCACATTTGAAAAGGGTTGTAACTGTTTAAGAATCGATAAATTTAAATCTCTATTGTGGAGGGGGGAAGGTTTGTTGCTCATCCAATGACAGGATTTTATGATTACAATTCTTTTTTTTAAATCATATCTTCTTTTCCTGCCCAGCATAGATGATGGTTGGTCGATGTGGCCTTGGGCGTACTGCGCGTTTGGGGAGTTTCAATCATCCTGTTACCTGTAAAGAGATCTTACAGCTGATTATCTTGAAAACAGGGATAAGGGACGCAGATGTTTATCACAGGTGGGATCGTGGTGTCCTAGTGCCTGAATCTGACTGTTTTCGCTGGTTACCGACTTCTGGTACAATGTCCTCGCTAACCTCTTGAAATTACTTTTTATTGAAGACATTTCCCTCTGTTCGTGTAAGGTTGCAATTGGTGTTACCCTCGGTAATTTTGTTATTATCCTGAGGAATTTATTTTTAAATGTCTGTAATTTATTTATGTAAGTGTCGGCAGCATAGCCCCATGCGGGGGAGGCATATGACAATATGGAACGGAGGAGTGATTTATAAATTACCAACCCTAAATTAATGTCAGTGGTGGAGGATTTATTTAATATAGGGTAGTTGCCTCAGTCTGTAATTAGCTTTCCTCAAAATACAGGATATGTGGGTACGGTAGGTTAATTTTGAGTCAAGTGTAACACCAAGATACTTTGTTTCCTTAGTCCAAGATATGGTTTCGTTAAAAATCTTTACTTGATGCGTACTGCAGCGATAATGTCGCAGTCGATTATAAAAGAGTGTAATTGTGCACTTTCCGGAACCACGGTTCTAAAAGGCCTATGACAGAGTTTAACTTCCTGATTGCTATATCTATGCTGCCTGGCCGAACACTAATATTCGTGCCGTTAGCATAGACTGACGTGGCTATGTTAGAGCCATTTTCAGTTGATGGAATGTCATTGATATAAATACTGAAGAGTGTGGGTCCAAGTAAGCTGCCCTGAGGGACTCCGGCCTGAATGGGGCGTAGGTTTGAAAAAGAGTTTTTGTGCATTACAAGAAAGAATCGATTCTAGAGGTAGTTATGTATTATATGAATGAAGTGAGGTGGAATTTTGACCGCAATGAGTTTAGCAATCAACCCGGTGTTCCAGACCTTGTCGAATGCTCGTTCAATATCCAAGAATAAGGTTACTGTAGCTTTGTTATTGTTGAAACCGTGCGTAATGCGTTCCACGTTTCATAACAACGCATGTGTTGTGGAGAGACCTCTTTTAAAACCGTATTGGTCATTTCTAATAGCTTGCAGCTTCATAAGTTCGAAGTTTAGTCTTTTTATAATGAGTTTCTCAAAAAGTTTACCTAAAGAATTTAGGAGGCTTATTGGTCTATAATTTATTGGGGACGTGAGGTCTTTGCCTGGTTTCGGAAGCATAATAATTTTTGCCTCTTTCCATTGTGGGGGAACCTAATTTAGGGCAAGTCATCTATTACACAGTTTCGCAATAAATTTGAAAACAAACCGCGGCAGATGCTGAAGTATTAAATTCTGTATCCCGACAGGCCCTGCTGCTTTGCGTGGTTTGAGGTGGTGGACAATCTAAGCAACTTCAGAATGATTTGTACTCCTCATCCGGTCTGTCAGTGGCTGTGTAAGGAAGTCATTCACAACCTGTTCGGTGCTGACTGTAAAAGTACGATCAGCATCCAAATTGGTAGTGAAAATTTGTTCGAAGTTATCGGCAAATGCGTTTATTTTTTCCTGGGTTTCGGTCACAGTTTTCCCATTAATGATAAGGGGCGGGATGTTAGTATTTGTGTTTGTTAAACTTTTAGTTATCCTCCAGGTGTCTCCCATGTTATTAGTGTCCAGTCCTTGTAAAGTTTTCTGCCAGGTGTTCGATAATTGTTCTTTTATTGCCGAATCTATTTGCTCTTTTAAAGAATTAATGAGAGGGCGAAGAGTAATATCACGGGTTCTTTGCCATTGCGTCTGAAGCCCCGTTCCTCTTTTGAATGAGCACACGAGTGGAGGCTGCAATTGGCACTGATTTGAAAGTTTTCCTTTTTAACGGTACAGCATAGAGAGTGGCTCTATTGAGGGTGTCTGTAAGGTGCTTAACCGCTACATCAATCTCGCTCTTTGAGCATTTCCCCTCTAGGCACTGAGTATTCAGATTGTTTGTTAAGTAATTTTGAACAACTTCCCAGTTAGCTTCCCTGTAGATAAAATTTGGTTTAATTTCGTCCAGTTCTAATAGCCCACGTATTGTCAATAAGACGGGGTTGTGATCAAATGTGGAGCTGCTACCTAGGGTGCGTACGGAGTGTCTTGACAGTAAGTTACTGAGGATGGCAAAGTCAAGGATTTACGCCCCTGCAGGAAATGCGTAGGCTGTGACGGAGCGGAAATTTATGTAATTATTTTTATAATAATGATACAAAATGGATTATCCAGCTGCATTATTCTGCCTAGCGCGCCATGTTACGTGCTTGGCGTTGAAATCGCCTGCAAGTATTACTTTGTGCTCGGTTCCAATGAGGAGTTTTACTCGTAAGTATTATTTTTCCTGACGGATTGTAGACCGAAATTAATACTATGGATTCCTGATTAATGTTGTGTTGAATAGCTGTAGCTTCCATATGTTGCAAGTGAGGAAGTAGAATTTCGGAGTGTTTGGAATCCTGACGTATTAGAATGGCTGATTTAGCCTGTCAGACCTGTATGTTATGTAGTTCGGACACTTATTAGTGCTATCGGTATGTTATTGACATCCAAGTAATTTATAAACTCGTATTTTTTCGATTTACTGTCCCTACAATTCCAGAATAAGCTGTCGGCGTGAGAGAAGGATTTACCCATTATGTGGAGGACCCAGGAGGTTGACTAGGAAGTTACTGAAAATGACCGTGAGGGCGCTCTCATTTGGGTGTTGCATAAATTGCAAGAGCATGAATGACATTGTTTGCAGAAGGCACTGAAAGGAAAGTTTGGGTTGAAAGCCCGAACACAATTGACACATTCCCTAGATTGATGTTCGGTGTATGAGTTACCTAGTCTCTGTTTGGGCGGCTGATGGCCGTGCTGATGCACACTATCTGCCGACTGCAATAAATTTTGGTCAGAAGAATTGTAACTGTTTTCCTCACGCGGGTGTATTGAGCCTTGTTGCTGACATTAGTTTGTCCCTTTGTTCTAGTCAACTTGAGGGCGGGGGGTTGTGGCAATTGTGAACTAGAATAATTCAGAGGCTTGCTCCAAGCATTTCCGGGACTCATAGGCGGATAGTCGTGGAGGGTTTTAGAGGGAGGATTTTGCGGATGGATAGATTGAAATGAACTTCGCGCTCTGCCCATATTAGCAGGCTGGTGATTATTCAACGTTTCAGTCTGAGATTTATTTCTCATCTCCTTTTCCATGAGTTTCCGAAAATAGGGGCAACCTCTGTACTTGGAGCCGTGATCTCCGATTTTGCACAGAGCGCACGTGGGCACAAAGTTCGGTTCTAAACGTTTTTCACATTGCCACGAGCAGTGTTCCTCTGCACAGTGGGCACAAGCCGGAGGGGCCTGACAGTTTGTCTCCACGTGAAAGAATTGCTGACACCGTACGCACTCATGTGGCACAGCGCGTCCCTTATAAGGCTCCACAGTGATTCCGATGTAACAGGTGGGATAACTGCGAAATTTTCTGGCTCTGTGGAACGTTATCTAGCTCAATTATGTGCATGGGCAGAGGGGTTTTGTCTCTCGACGTGGTCATTGGGATGACGTTTTGAACTGCCAGCCCAAGGGCAGGTAATTCATCCCGAATGGCTTTAGGAGGGGTGGTATGAGGGATGCCTTTGATAACCATCCTGTACGGCTTGGAATCGTTGTGTTTAATCAGGTTAAATGGAACTTTATTTTCTTTTAAAAACCGGAATATTCGCAAGGTACCTTCGGTACCTGTCCTGAGCCAGATGAGTCCAGTCCAGCAGCGGGAAATTTTAACTTCGGTACTGAGGTCAGAGTTACTACATATGTATATTATGGCCGCTCCATAGCTCAGGCGGTTAGTCGCTGACTTCTCACCGCGGCATCCCGGGTTCGAGCCTGGCTCTGGTCATGTGGGATTTGTGGTGGACAAAGTGGCGCTGGGGCAGGTTTTCTCCGAGTACTTCGGTTTCCCTTGCCAATCTTCATTCCACCAATTGCTCCATAATCACCATCATATCATCTGGAGCTGGTACAGTAGGCCAGTACTGGCCGCAGTACCAAGCGGACACAGTCTCACCACACTAATAACAACAACAACAACAACAACAACAATAATAATAATAATAATAATAATAATAATAATAATAATAAATACATACATTACTTCATGAACGTCTTAAGGCTTTCTTGTTTCCCTGAAAAGTGACGTTTAGTGCCTTGTCCCTGTTTGCCGTAGCACCGCGGAATTACTTTCACCATTCCTAACACATGCTTCTGTTGTCTACACGCAGGTTGCCGTATCAACGGGCAACTGGTGACAGAAAACAGAGACGTGGGAATCCCCGAAGATCCATGCCTCAAGTGCCGCTGTAAGGCCGGGTGGATCACGTGCTCAAAGCAGGCGTGTCCAGTCTTGCATTGCCCGCAGAAGAACATTTCCCGCGTCCCGGGAGAGTGCTGTAAGCAGTGCGTCGGGAGTAGGTACCTGATGGAACCGCCCAAAGGCGGGTGTCTTCTCGGTTTCCAGGTGCACCTAGCAGGCAAGGCGTTTCGGCTCGACCATTGTACCCAGTGCTCCTGCCTCAACGCTACGTCCATATGCCGCAGGAAAGCATGCCCAGTTCTGGAATGTGCGCCAGAGAGGCAGGTGTCGACACCTGGTGACTGCTGTCCGCATTGCCCACCCATTCTGGAGAGCACTACAACATGCACTATTGGTGGCCGCACATACGAGGCTAGTATCTCCATGTAAAGGTAAAATAGCGTATGGGGGAGTGATGTAAAGCTCCACACGTTTTTAATCTTGGTGCTAGGTGGAGGGGAGCGATTAGATTTTCGCTTCGGACTCTCTATCCCCTGTATACACGGTGTGTCCAGGATCCGTTAGGACTCTTTTTTTTTTTTTTTTGCCCTGCAATGCCATCTGTTTTCTAGTTGCGGCGTTAAAATTCATGAAGTTTCAGCCGTGGCTGCCTATAATTTCAAAGCGCAAGCGTCGCTGCATCATGTGTTCTGACCTTGAACGTAACAGTACTGTTATGACGCTCATCGAAAAAGGGCGGTTGAAGAGAGAACCAATATCAAATTTTGTTTGAAGTTAGGCAAAACAGCCGGAGAAGCGTACGAAATGATGAAAAGTGTGTACGGTAGTGATTGTTTGAGTCGCTCGAACATTTTTCAATGGTATGCTGCATTTCGTGACGGCAGGGAAGACATTGAAGACGCTCCACGTGCATCAAAGACGAGAACAAGTCGCACTAAGAAAATGTGAAAAAAGTGACCGAAATCCTTGCATCAGACAGATGTGTTTCTGCAAAACTCATCGAGGAGCTTTTGGGAATACTAAATATTAAATCATTCTCAAGTGCATTTAAAGTTTCCCCTTTCTTCTGAATGAGTAATACTTCCATTGTTTGGTCTGTGCTGGACACAGGGCACACATACAGTACAATAGACAAAACAGTTGATGCAGATGCCAAGATTGAACCCAAAACTGGGCACTGTTGCTTCCTTCCTCATCCTGTCCGATTCATTGTTCACTGATGGGCAAGTTTTTTCAGATGTTAACATTTGTGAAGTGCATTGTCTTTTGGGATATAATGCCGTGTAGTCCACTGAAAGTCAACCAGTCTTTTCGACAAATATTGCCTGCATCTTCAGGCTTGAAGAATAAGCTGAGCAAGACATAAGTAACGTGTCTGTTCAAGAGGTACCTGGCACAGATATCCTGACTGAAATTTTTTGCGATTTTTTGCTCAGTCCCTGCAGACATATACTGGGATAATACTTAATATTATTCCATGACTGCTTCCTTGTACATCCTTTTAGATCATTTATTCCCTATTATCCAGTCATTCAATGCTATCAAGACTTTCTTTCTTAACCATATAGTCAATGCAGAGAAATATAAAGGAAAACTTTTCATTGGTGTATCAGGTGATCACTAAAGAGAACTCTTCCATCACCTGTTCTAAACACAAGGTTGGTAAAGACCTTTGTCATCACTTCTTTTTTAATCACATAGACTTCATCATTCCTTTTCTTCAAACGTGTGCTCACAGTGCTCTCCCTATCATGTCTTCACCACCACCACCCACCTCCCACTGTAAGATCTACATAAGGGCTTACAATACCCCCCCACCAATGATGATGGCAGCTGCATTTGCGAAAACATTGGGAATCCTTCAACAGTCTAAGCGGCTTATTCCCAGTAGCCAAAGTCATACCTCAGACTGCGTGGTGTCACATCCCAGAAGACCATAATGTGTCCTGGGGAATTCGAGTAATGGGGTTCCCTTTCTCCTAGGTAGGATGGCGAGTCATGGGAGTTGGACCCCTGCAAGACGTGTGTGTGCCAGCAAGGACAGGTTCGGTGTGCCATGCAGATGTGCCCACAGAAGAACATGGTGTGCCCCAGCAACTACAAGATGGTACAGCGACCTGGAGAATGCTGCCCACGCTGTGTCGAGAGTGAGTATGCCTGCATATACTTGGAGAAAGGATTTGCTACTAAACTGGAGCTGAGTCTGTGAACCAGCAACAGTGAATATGCCATATTACAATCACATTTTTCTTCCCACTTTTTATTTAAAGTGAAAGTAGCAAACAAATTGTGAAACCATCCACTGAGATATAACTATTCATACATAAACCTGCGACATATAGTGAACCCTGTGAAGCATGTATGTAATCTGAATAATATATACAGATCCAGTCCGAACCTCGCAGGAAACATATAATGTCTCTGCTACAAAGACCAACCGGTTAATTCTGTTTATGGAAATAATCGCTGTTTACTGTTAGAATCACTCAGAATACATAAATATATTGTGAAGAAAAGTGCAGGAGATTTGTATGCTAAAACAGGTTGTACATACGGTTACCACTGTGCTTTATAGGGTTAAGTTAATATTGCTACAAATCCTAATAAGCCAATTGCAAGTATAGCAAAATTTATTCCTAAGGCTTCATAAATAACTTCTCTCGATTTCCTGCTGTATGAGTGTGTGCAGTATCTGGTGTCCCACATGTGTTACAGGTGATGGGATATGTACAGTCTTTGGTGACCCACATTATCGTACCTTTGATGGCAAGTTCTACAGCTTCCAAGGATCATGCAAATATCAGCTGGCGGCCGATTGTCTGGGGCACACCTTCTCCATCCGTGTTACTAATGATGCTAGGGGTACAAGAACATCATCATGGACAAAAACTGTGGCCATCAAGGTATGAAGAAAGCTGTAGTTGAGCCAGAGTGGTCCAGAGTGTCAATCTGATGATTCTCTAAGTACTTGGGTACCACTGTGGCAAGTCTCTTGAAGACATGACTGTAAAACATAAGGTTCTTATAGCACATTTCTTGTGTGACCTCTGAAGTACCCACCAATGTGTGCATTTCTTGAGATGTTTGTTGTTTGATTCTACATTTAAATGTGTAAAGCTAACATCATATAATGAGAATTGCTTCATATCATTATTTATACCCATTTCTTTCCAACCTGGAACTGCACACCAGATAATTCTGCCACTTTTATTTTACATCTGCACCCAGGGATATGAATATGAGATAACTTCAGTTGTCAAGAGAGTTGACGGTTTCTGTATTATGTGTGTGGTCAGTTTTATTATTTAGACTATATTACAGTGATCCATACCAAGAATATAGTCCCCCAGTGCTGCAGGGCTAGTGCCCTGGTTTTAACTCAGGATTTGTGTTGAAGAAATATAACATTTGGCCAGGTGAGCAGTGCACATGAAATGTTAATGTAACACATGACAGTTAAAGGTTAATGACAGTTATAAAGTGGGATGTGAGGTACTGTCACTGGTGACTGTCAAGACCAATGTGTTGTGGGATGTGATGTTCTGTAGTCCTGGTTCTTTCTGGTTGTTTCCTTGGCTTACTCTCCAGCCCTGAAGATGGAGCCAGTAACATGTTAGTGAACTTCTAATGGTCTTTGTGTGTGTCTCTTCGTTTGTTTCACAATATTGTTAGTGTCTCAGTCTGTGTAGTGTCAAATGTTAAGGTGACTGACACATAATAAATTGGAATGTATTTGGAAGCAAGCAGTCATGTGATTGAGGTAAGATCTTGGTATCTACCTGGACATACTGCGAGAAATAGTGAAAAGAAATAGTCAGGGTAGTTGGTATCCCAGTCAGGATTTTAAACAAGCACCTCCTGAACACAAGTGTAGAGAATTAGACTTTGCTGACCTGCTGGGTTCATACATGATGGATGTTCTGACAATGATGCAAATAATTTTTCCCCCTCCCACAGGTGGGTGAAGTGAAGATCAACCTGGGCCAAAAGATGCGCCTTAAAGTAAATGGCCACAAAGTGACTGCACCATACAGACTGGAAGGAAAAGCCACTATCAACAAGACAGAAGACAGTCTGATAGTTGAGACACATATCGGTGTCAAAGTGCTCTGGGACGGTAGCAGTTTCCTGGAAGTGTCAGCACCGGCATCATACAAGGGTCGTCTCTGTGGTCTCTGTGGTAACTTTAACTTGGCAGCACGTGATGATTTCACAACACGCCGAGGACGTTTGGTGTTGGATCCTGATAAATTTGGCACATCGTGGAGAGTCGGTGGGAAGCGTGCTTGTGCTCGCCCGGACGGACAGAGCCAGTGCCAGCATCAAGGATCTCACAAGAGTATGGAGAACATCCGGCACTGTGGCCCCCTGCAGACTGTGTTCTCTGCATGTCACAAGACACTCAACTTCATGACTTACTTGCAGTAAGTGTAGAAAGAGTCATGGTATTAGTTATCTGGTAAATAATTAGCATAAGCAAGGCAGCATTTGTCACTTTGTTGTTATGTGATTCTCTTGGAAAGTGAATGCAAAACTAGGCTCCCATAGGTACAGTGGGACCAGATGATGGTTGCAATAATTGACAGAGTTCCAGTCTCAATTATAATGCTGAACTCTGCCAGATAGACGTTTATGGTGTTATTACACTTATTCTGTCAATCTGTCCATCCAGAACTTTTGAGGTTCATCATGGAGTTATAATATGTAAGAGTGGGTGAATGGAAAGGCTAGCTGCAGAAATTGTAGCTGGAAATGGGAAATGTCAAATTTTCCTGTTGATTTTCAACAGGCATTTCGTTGGTATTTATAAAAATGTATTTTTTCTAGCTTTTATTTCCCTTTTCCCACTTCAAACCTGATAGAGAACATGTAAGGTAAAGTTGTCCCTGTGCTTAACTAATTAAACACTATGCCATGAATGCGTATGGGAGAGTGGATGTATAGATCCACATTTTCTTGACCTCAGCAGTAGGTGGAGGTGAGTGGTCAGCTTCACACCCCTGCCAGTTTACCCTTAGGGAAAGTGCCCCCAGTACCCATTGGATAGGAGGGACCTCAGGGCTGGTCTGGACGACATGGAGATAAGAAAATTCTTGGCCCTACTGGTACTTGAACTCAGACCCCTCGGTTGTCCAGCCCATAGCCAGTCACTTTACTGACTATGCTCTCCCAGCTCCTGATAGAGAATATGTAAAGATATTACATTTATGCTGTCCTGTTGCCAATATGTGCAGCATCCATGGTTCTTGAAGTGTGTGCAGGTATTGTGTTAGGGTTCCTGGCTTCAATCCTCATTTCCCCCCACAACACCAGCAACTACGAAGAGTACTCTTGTGGGCTGTAACAACGTGTAGTTCCATACAGTTCCACCAACACTACTGCCACCTGCTTCTTGCTGGTTTATTGCTTGGCTTACTCTTCAGTCCTGAAGATGGAGATGACACATTCCTCTAAAACACTTGTACTTATACCAGCCTACTTGGCGTTACAACCCAGAAGATTGTATTCTTCATGAATATTGTTTCTTTAAGGTTTTAGCTTCTATACTGTGATATTGACGATCCTGTATTAGCTCGAATACTACTACTTAGAGAAGAGGAGTGGTCTTATTTTCAGATCCTTAAGAATACGTAAATACAAATGAGATGGTTATGACGAGTTCTGTTTGCTAATTCTAATGATGTTTGCAAAAATCCTTAGAATTATATTTAAGGTATTAAATTTTCAGTTTATAATTTCTTAATAGTATAATTTTTACTTCTGTTTGTGTAGAACCCTCAGAATTAAATGACCAGTTCAATTTTATCCACACACACACACACACACACACACCACCCCCACTCATGAACTTGGAGATTACCTTGTATAAGCAATGTGCACAAAACTTTGACTGGAATGCCTGAAGGGAAGAGACCACTTGGAAGACCTAGGCATGGATGAGAGGATAATATTAAAATGTACCTTAAAAGAAGGGATGCGAGGATGTGGACTGAATTGATCGGGTATAAAGAATACATGTTGAGACTGTTTGTCCCAGTAAGGATCGCTGATTTCTGATCCTGTTCACTGTGTTACAGGTCATGTATTCTCGATATGTGTGAATGTCCTTTGCGACGCTGTTACTGTGAATCATTCACTGCATATGCCCATGAGTGCATGAGGTTGGGAGTACAGCTACCAGACTGGAGGGCGGCAACAGGTTGTCCTAGTGCTTGGACAGAACACAAGGGGCATGCAGTTCCCCGCAACAGGCCGCCACCACCCAGACTGCACTAGTCTCCTTTTGTCCGCACCAGAAGCACAGCAACTAGTCAGTCAGTATCTCTGAGCAGTCACCACAGAATTCACTTTTCTGCCTTAATTTCATTCATACATTAGTATAATTTTGATCCATCTTGAATCACATTCTTTAGAGACAAAACGGGATACGTGTTTAGGGAGACAGTACATAACATTGTGTCAGTTAAAATTATACTTCAAAATATTTCTAAACTCTGTTGTCTGTGGAAATGCTGTGAAGTGGGGGAGAGGGAGTGAAATTGTTTTCTTAGAAATCTGGTGTTGATTCTTCTCTGGAATCTGCAGACTGTGCATGTGAGCACTGTTCTAAACACTTTGGAAGTACATGCTCACTTGTTAGCTCACATCAGCAATGATTGAAAATTTTCATTTAGTCACATTTGTGAAGAGATTCAGTACTTTACCCATTGCCAAATCATTTACTAAAGCCTGAAATATATTTAAAATCTCAGGCATACATGAAATCTTTTGACTGAAAAGCTTAGAAGTATCAGTTTTGTCTTTACTCCATTGTTAGGTATCACACATCTTGAAATCTTTAGTAATAAAAGGAAAATATTTCTCTCTCCTGCAGTAATCAAGATAATTCTTGTTCAATTGAAGACATAAAATATAAGTTCCAGGTGATTTCTCAGAGATCCTACATATGGGTTGGCATTACTTGCCAACAACAGTTGGCACTACATGCCAGCAACAGATTTTTAGAAAATGTAAGTCCTTTATTGTATATTATTACAATTTCATAGTAGCATGCTTGGATGTGCAGTAAAATAACAGACATGCGCCAAATTCACACCATCATAATTTTTAAATCAGAACTGTTATTTTAAGAAACACGCAAAAGCTGAAATTGATACTCACTGTCTACGCGCAAACAGTGTAGCGCTACATTCCTGTGTTCTCGTAGAATTAAATATTTCATTTTACATCTGCAGATGTATTCAATTTATAACTTTTAAACAGGTCAGACACCTCATCTGATACAGTTTTGAGCTGGGTTTGAATACACTGCTTTCCAGAAATCACGAGATTGTCCATAATGACTGTATCATGTTGCTTTCTTCTATCAGTATTGTGCTGCTTTCCCATGTCACTCGTTTGTGTGGTTTGATTGTGTGAGTAGACTCAGGTCTTGTTGGGAAGAAAATATAATATGAAATGAAAAACATGTGATAATGTTCAAGACAGACTTGTATAGTGCATTGTCTGATAATGTCAGATCTGTGAAGAATTATTTTAATGTTAAGTTAATAGTTAAGCGAACAAATTATAAATCTCAAAGAGTGTAAATATTTCTTTAAGTATTATGTACTTAGGCTTATTTTAAAATGTACCTATAGTTAGTTCGCTAGTAACATACAAGGGAAATAGATTGTGAAATTTTATTTTAATGAATGAGCTCAGTATGAATTTTTATGGTTGAAAGTGAAATTGGTAGCTGAGGTAACAGACATTGCTTGTACCAAAGATGATGCTACACCCACTGAGAGCAAAACAAGCAGAGTTACATTGAGACTGTGGTCTTCTGCGATGTGACCCCCCATGTAGTTTGATAGGTAGTACCATGGTCAGAGCTGGTGCAACAGCATGCGCAAATGAAATGGGAACTGGAACCAGCATGATTTTAGGTGTTGCACATTTTATGTAGCTTCAATTCCCATCCCATTTTTTAAACGAAAACTGATTTATACTATTCTTTTGTTCAAATTGTGACCATTAACTGTGAGCAGTGTAAACATGTTATGCAATCTAAATTTAAATTGAACTGTTTAATGAATTAACAACAGCAGCTGCAGATGTCACCGCATCTGAAGTTTCGTGTCATCAATTGTGATGATATTCTGAGGAAGTTAATGTTGTCGCATGGGGTGATATTTGGGCTTTCATTGGTCCATACCATGGAACCTTTTGCATCCATCTTCAGGATATTTCTCTCATGAAGGCGGAGGCTGCAGATTCCTGTGAAACATTGATTCCTATCTATCAGGCAACATGTTGTCACTCCCAGAAGTCTGTGTAATCTTGATACCACTGTCAGAACCTGAACTCTTGCAGAGGTGTGTTGCATTATTTATTATTGCCATTATTCTCTCAGATGCTTTCTCATGAAGTAAATAACATAAATTAAGATTATTCTGTGCATTATTTAATGTAGTGTTTTGCTGTCATATTTAAAATGCATAGTTCTACTTACATGTGAGCTGTATGGACATCTTAGTTACTGAGATTGGTGGTTGATCATAAGAGCAAGTGAGCAGTGAGCCCCCTAATGAAATATCAGGCATGGGGCAACCCCACCCCCATCCCCTAAACTTAGTAAATTATATGTGGAAAACAAAATTTGTTATTCCAGTATTAAAATTCCCATACCAGTGTATATTGTCATGTGATAGGAATGAAATAAATTTACTGCCATGATACCATACTGTGATTTTACCTGCTAAGCCAGCCTTTTTTTTCCCCCCCATGAAAACTGGCTTTTGAACTTCCTACATTCAAAATGGAAACGTTAGAGAACAGGTGACAACAAGTGACAGTTACTGTATGTTTGCATTGTACACCCACATTTTCTGTGCCTTTGAATGACAGCTGTGGGAACTGACATATACAGCAGCCCATCACTTCACAGGACTGGAACTGCTGCCCACTGAACTTCAGCCCATCACCTGGCAGGGCTTAGAGTGGATGTGTTGAAAGAGAACAATGACAGCTGTGTAGAGTACAAGCAAGGATATGCAAAGTCAGAGTCACATTGCGACTGACGGTCAGTCAGTTTGTCTGTCTTGGTGTTGAGCCCCATATGGGGTTTATGACAAGATAATTTATCTTGTTTGAAGGTTTCTGTCCTGTCCATGTGGGGCACCGTCTCTGAGAGGATGGGTCTGTCATTTATCAGAGTCACAGTCTGTAGTATTAAGTCTGTATACAATATATACAATTTCTGTATACAGTATATACAGGGCCTCTGTCATTCAAGGCTCAGTACAGCAGATTATGCCCTGTTTTTAGGAGCTTGCACTGCAATGGCAGTCTAGTCACTTGAACAGTCATATGCTTGAGCGCCGCCAAAGTTTAAGCCTCTTCTAGTTTACAAGGATATGGTTCCTGCCATCTAGCAAAAATGTAGAGCTGCGAGGTTGGAATTTCAGTGGTTATATTGCAAGAGTGTAGTACAGTTACCACTGAAGTTCAAACATTTACTTGCACCTCTGACCATACAGTCTCATGCCCATCCTTGAATCAGTCTTGCTGTTGCAGGTTACCATTATATTAGAAGTATAGTTTAAATTTTAAAAAGTAATTTTAAGTATCAGCTGTAAGTTGATAAGGGTGAATTTCAGCTTGACAACACAGTACTTTCAGCGTAATATCAGATCACTGAGAGAATTTGTAATGACATGGTACATTGATGTACATGAAAGGATTAAACTTCTGTAGAACTAATATCACATACTTTTATTGCAGAAAATGTTTCATAAGTTTTGTACTTTTTCTTTTATTTTACACACATTGAGTGATAGGAAAACAGTGTTTTAGTATGGTGTAGTCTTTATATGTGTATCTGTATATAAGTATAATTATGTGTGTTTCCATAATTACAGTTTTACTTAACTGTTTATAGGGTGAATGTTGTTTTGTAGAAAGGAAATCAGTAGTTTGATTCACTCTAAATGAGAATTCCATATGTTTTATTTTTTTGAGCACGTGTTTTTCTTTATTAGCCCTTTCACTGCTACATTATGATGGTCTCCTAAATGCTGAATTATTTTCTGCAGTTTGCTGCACTTTCAGTATGTGTAGTATCATCCATATGTTTTGGTTCACGATCATTGAAAGAAACGTCTGAATTCAGAGTTGAATTGATATTGAATTTAAAATGGTTAAGGTTTAATTCTAGATCCATATATTGCATGCTGTGAAGAAAACCCAGAACTGGAGCATGTAATTTAATGTGAAGCATTCCTGCCATAATAATATTGAAGTAATACTCAAAAGAGGAACATTTTATGTTGAGTCTAACATTGATATTTGTAGGTAAAATAGACATCACATTAGCTAGTAAAATATATGCTGGGGTAAAAAAATATTTGCTCAGTTCACCATTTAGACAAAACTTTGGCTTATAAGACATTTCTCCACAATACAGCATGTGTCTCCCCATGCCACTGCAGTTGTTCCACACCAACTTACCACCACATAATGTACAGGACATACAAAATATTGTCCATTGTAGAATATATACAAGATGTCATTTGCTGTTTCAGCATGTGTGGAGACAAAAAAAAAAGAAGTAGAAGGAAGTATTAAATAAGCATTTTTCAGTGAATCTGCCTTGATAGTCACACGAACAAACTAGTGATTTACTGAGCGTGTGATATGGGCATAGATGTAATTTGTATATTCTACATGTTTACTTTCAACGTCCATTTTTTCTCTTGTACGAAATAAGTCTCAACATACATATGTATCATGGTCCTTGATCTCTGTATTTTTTCTTTTGCAGTACAAAAGTTCAAGCATAATACAGGTGTTGTACACATGCATATAAATGTAGCATCTGAACATATTCTTCTGGGGGAACAGGTGTAAACTATTCTCTCTGAGTTTTTCTTTCAATGAATCACAGCAATGTTTCACACTGCCAGATATTTATCTAAGGGTCTGCTGAAATCATTGTCTCTTTGTTCTGAAGTTCTGGGCATTTGTGTACAGATTAACTCTCGTGCCCCATGCTAGGATTGTACCTATTCATTCAGTAATACTTCCACAAAAGCTGAATTCTGAACTTACATTATAAACACAAATAGAATATAACAAATAAGATTGATGATAACGGTATATTTTGACCCATGCTACTCTAAAGTTTCTCTGCATTTGAGTGACACCTGTACAAGAAATGGCATTATGTGTACAGTGGGAACACCCCATCACTTGATGGTACTGGGACTGGCATGTGGTAAACTTTGGCATGTTAGGTGACAGGATTGGTAATGAATGGGGTATATAAAATCCTGTTGAGTATTGTATGATGCGTTAGGAGAGGCGAATGATTTTTTGGATGCAAAAATTTTAGATTTGTCTAAACTGAATGAAGTGTTTGTGAAAATGATTTGGATGAGGAATCACTCTTGTAGGTTATGACACCATGTACTCTGGTAGGTTGGTACCAACATTCTGGATAAATATACTTCCTCCACCTTCAGCATTAACTCAGTCCTGAAGATGGATGCAGTGTGTTCCTCCAAAATATCAGTACCCATTAGTCAATACAGGTATCAAATCAGAGGAGACCATTAACCATAAGAATAAGTCTTCTTTCTTGCCTGTTGCCAGTACATCTCATCCAACTTACAGGGACCTCTCAGGCCTGAAGAAATAATCATAGTCATTGTAGGAACTACCCAACACACTGTACTTGTAAATGAGGTTATATAAATGACATGCCATTGTTCTGCTGCTAGGGATCAGAGATTTCAAAGCTTTCATAATAAGTAGTACCTGCCCTTCAGTAATCAAAATGATTTTTTTTTTCAATTGAACATATAAAATGTAAGTTCTTGATGACTTCTCAGAGGTCCTACACATAGGCTGGCATTACTTGCCAACTACAGAATAAAAAAATGAAGTCTCACATTACTTGCCAACTACAGAATAAAAAAAAATGAAGTCTCACATTCTATATTATAATTCTGTACCAAATTTTGTTATTGAGTACTGGTCACAGATGTGTCACATTGGATTAAATTGATTATTTCCATTGACTCAGAAGTATCTCTTCATTAAAACTGGAACAAGAAAAAAACAACATTTCTAGACTTAATTCTAGCTCAGGGAATAATGTTTCAATTTTTTAAGACATAAATTCCGAAGATCTCAGATTTATTACAAATGATTTCATGATATTACATACATCACTAAGGATTTTGGTTTACCATTTTGCACAACATTGGTTTTGTGGAAAACATAAGAACAATAAATACAGTGGAACTACTGGAAAGAAATATCCATGAAGATGAGACTTCAAGCCCTAACACAGTGAATACTGTGACTACAGTCTTCAGGGTGTGAGCTATGTGGTTTGGTAGATGGGTGCCAGTGTTCAGAGGAACCTTCTTTCTCTATTTTCAGGCCAAAATGGAGGCATCATATTCTTCCAAAACAAGCCATATATCAGACCATGTGTTATCTCACACAGAACATGGGAATCTCCTTTTTATGTTCTTCAATTAAACGTTTTACGAGGGGGTACCCAAAAGAAACCGAACTTATTTTTTTTTTAACTTATTTATTCAAATTTTAAGCACAAACCTTCAATCCCCTTCAAAGTACTCTCCACTTACACCAATAAACTTGTCTAGTCTTTTATTCCATTTTTCAAAACATTGTCTAAATTCATCTTTTGAGATGCTTGACAGCGCCTCCATCATTTTTTTCCTTCACCTCAGCAACATCAGCAAAACGCTGAAAAAAAGTTCTGATCATTTCGGGACTCTTCTTTCAAAGCACAGCATGCTTCCACGCGACCTTGATTTTGTTCAGCAGTCAACAGTCATGGCATGAATTTCGCAGCCACCCTTTTCATTCCCAAATTTTCTGTCAAAATTCGCTGAACTGAGCTCCAAGTCACTCCCGACAGCTCCACAATTTCTTCAATGGTCCGTCGTCGATCTTCCTTGATGATTTCACGAATTTTTTTCAACATTTTCATGTGTTTGGGCCATTGTAAAAAGACGATCACATAAAACAGTTGTCACTATAAACTCTGCCGAAACTACTCCTTACCTTCTGAAGCAACGGTAGTCGGCTTATCGACTCAGGAATATTAGCTCTATGCGCTCATAGCGGCAATACGCGGTACCACAAAAGCTCTGCCCACAAAAAAATTAGTTCGGTTTCTTTTGGGTACCCCATCATATGTCTGTGAGTAATGTTCAATTTCAGTGATCCCAAGTCTGTAATCACAGTGTTAAACTTCATCCAGTTGAGATTATCCTCAGGTTAATCAAATCCAGTGCTCCAAAAGGAAACATTAAATGGGAGTTTGACTGTATTACTGCCATGAGAACGTCAAATCTCATGACTCTGGTAGTTTGGTATAGAAGACTTGACTAGTAAAACTAACAGTTTGGCATACAGAGTTGCTTAATGTCAGGACACCCCAAGATCCTAAGGGTTCTGACAATGCTGTATAAGTCTCAGAAATACTGGGTTTTTGGACTTTATCTATTGTCCGGTATTCTAAAAACTAGAGAACACAATGCTTCAGGAACTCGACCTGTTTCTGTCCTCAGGTGGTTGAGGTTAGCCCTTTCTAAGGGACCCAACACAGTATGTGTGTCCCCCCACCTGATGACAGAAATAGATTCATTTCTGAAACGTTGTGTTTTCTAGTTTTCAGAGTACTGGAAACCTTCATGGCGAAGTCTGAAAATCCAGTAATTCTGAGTGTTTACTAATAATGTTTCTGTATGTAAAATTCTTCCAGCAGCTGAATATTAAACTGCTTCAATTGTTGCCTTCCTATTTAATTATCTTACTATATTTTTTTTTTATTTCATGCATCGTGTTGTGTTACACTATACAACCTCTTTATTAACCGTCACAGCACAACAAATATCAAGGTCAGTGCCCCCGTAGGGCTCTGCTACATGTTTTGGCTATCAGTAGCCATCATCAGGCAAACACATGGCTAACAACATATACACCATCGAACTGCAGTACTATCAGACTGGATACAATACTATTAATCATATAGAAAAACACTTGTGTAAAAAATACAATAAATCATACTATATAGAAACAGAATTCATAGTATAAAACAAGAATAAAATCTGTTTTTATATAGTATGATTTATTGTATTTTTTACGTCAAGTGTTTTTTTTATATGATTAATAGTATTATATCCAGTTTGATGGTGTATATGTTGTTATCCATGTGTTTGCCTGATGATGGCTATTGATAGCCAAAACATGTAGCAGAGCCGTAGCCGGGCACTGACCTTGATATTTGTTGTGTTTTGATGGTTAATAAAGAGGTTCTTTGCTATATGTTTCCTTTAAGTATATGAATCATTTAAATCATTTTGATGAAAAAATATTTATTCAGTAGCTACCTGAGCAGTTATGTTTGCACAAAGAGCCCTTTCTGTTAGAAGCCTTGGGTTGATACATCTCCCTCATTTGATCCACTGCTAAGCTCAATTCTGCAGATCTGAGCTTCACATTGTAGCCATTCCTCCTGAGGAACTCTGAATATTATATCAGTGCACTTTGAGAATAAGGACAGAAACAGAAGAAGGGAGATGCAGCATCAGAATGTGACAAGATTTGTTGTGCAAGCTTATCTCTCTCTCTCTCTCCTTTATTTTATTTTAGCTTTTCCTGTTTAAATTTCAGGTATTTTTAAATCTCTGTGGGTACAGTTATTTATAATTGGTATGGATGCTTTTATATGTATATTTTTTTGTTGATGAATGGTCCTATGATTTGTTTAAATAGTAATTATCCTCTTATTTAATATACTGTTCTGTACATTTGTAAGCAAAAGAATGATGATATAGAATTAATGAAAATAATATAGTTATTGTTTATATGAAATTCAGGAAATTAGTGACATATGGAGGTTAAAAAATATCAGTAGATCATTTCATTAAGTGTAAATTTCTGCATCCAAATAAGTTTGAATAGAATAATATATACCGTATTATAAACTAAACCAAGAACTATTGCTGTTGTTAATTTAGTTTTTTCCTTGGTACAAATGTGCAGTTCCTTAGTTGATAGATTCTGAAACTTTACTGTTTACCTTAAGCCTTTTGAGCCTGAAATTCATCTAAATATTTAAAAATTGTTTCCTACCCCAGAGAAAACTCATCTTCATTAGAAAGCTCAAACAGTTAATGCAGTTTTTGGAAACAATCGCTGTTTAAGTCTCTCCTAAAGGGCTTTGGATGATGGCATATAGCACTCAGAATTACTGAATCTTTGGACTTTGTCCATCATGCAGTATTCTAACGATCATTAATGCTTCACCTGAGAACAGAAACGAATCCATTTTCTCAAATATTGTGTTCTTTAGAATACAAGACAGTAGACAAAGTCCAGGAACTCAGCAATCCCAAAATGTTGTTTAGTGTGAGAACCGTAGGAAACGCATAAATACATCTGTTTGGACAAAGTTGATGGTTTTATGTTGAAGTATGTGGTACATGTGCACCACTGTGCATTAAAGTGTTTGGCAATCGTGACATTTCAGACAAAAAAAATGTGTACCATATAATCCCATTGTTC